TCAGTGGTAAATCGCCCGAAAATAGTGGACGCGGAGCTCGAAATCCGCCATGTTTTTGCGGACACTTTTTTGTTTGACGAGATATGGGAGCACGATCTCCAGATATATATAGTAGAGCTCAGTGGGCCCATCCCACTGGCCCATCCGGAGTCTATGTATTAGCATTACATCTGAAATATATAGCTCAGTGTTGAAGCCAGCGATTTGCGGGCTGCGTGCAGGCTACTCAGATCGCAGGCTTCAACACTAAGCTATATATTTCATATGTAATGCTAATACATAACTTCAAAAAGACCCGGGATGGACTCCCTGTGTAAAATTCTTTACAAATAGTCAGATGTATAAACTGGGCACAAATCTTTTAGTTTTATTGCAGATGGAAATATCTTTCTATTATTTTGAACGGGAACGTTTTTAATAGCACTTTTGCAATACTTTAGAAATCACCAAAATTTTCCGTGTATTTTAAAACAAACTAAAGAATATACAATTACTTTATGGTTTCCGTGTTTGGATGGCCTGATCCAAACACGCGGGAATGTTGCGAGAGTTAAGAAAAGCGAGCGAAAACACGAGCCGAAGGCGAGTGATTTTGCCCGCTTTTCTTAACTCGAGCAACATTCCCAAGTGTTTGGATCATTCCATCCAAACACGGAAACCATAAAGTAATAGTTTTATCACTGTGGTTTTATAAAATAACAACAACACGATAGTCTTCCGTGTTTGGATGGCCTGATCCAAACACGGGTTTCGACCAATCAGAATACGCGTTATATACATGTTATTTTATAAACATATTTATTACTATTTTATAACAATTATTGTAATTACTCTCCATCAGTTTGAAACGAAGCTCAAGTACTTTTTGGTAATTTGGAATAATTTTGAGATACAAGTTATTCCTTGTTAAATATTTGACTGTTATTATTTCCGCTATTTAATAGCTGTGATGTATAATTGGACGAATTCCAGTGAGTTGCTATACGTAAACGACTTGTCCGTGATGACTGCTAATCTGGTATAAAAGGTAAGCTTTTTCTTTAAAATTTTTAACTAAGCTTTACAGTGCTCAGTTCATGTGCGATCCTGCTATTTCCCGGAAAAAATCGAGTTCTTCCGCTTCATTAGCAAATTTTGCGCGATCTAAATGTGTGTATTCTAAGTACCTAGATATCATACAATTGCAGTTTCATTCATTCAGTCTTTCTAACATCTACATTCACATGCAACAGCTGATAAAATCACATCAGTCCTCCAAGTACATCTACGACCTTGTCTTGGCTTTCTACGTCCGCCCGTCTTGCCTCTGAATCTCTTGCATCCTCTCTTTCTCCGGCAGAGTTTCACAACGATGTGTTTGAAAGTTACCTTAGAGGCCTGACACGAGCATGTGGTGTCACTTGAGGAACAAGGCGATGTCCCACATACACCAATCTGTAATATAATTATATGGAAAATAGTTAATGAGGGAAGTAAGCAAATTATGCTAATTTTTGTAATATGATATAGTACAGTGACTACAGTTCGTTCTGGCAGGAATCGAATCTGCGACCCTACGATTCCGGTGCAGCGCGCTAACCAACTGAGCGACAGAGGTCAGTCGTCGAGCTCTTACCACAAGTTCATGTACTATTTAAAACATGAGCAGCAGTGTTTTATCAGATATAAAGATACGAGGCAAAGCCGAGTATCTTTAGGTCTGATAAAACATGCACTGCGAATGTTTTAAATTGCTTCAAAAACGATCGATCTAGTAAGTTCATTGGCGAAGTAATTTTCAAAAAATATGTTGTGTAAGTGAGAAAATCAAAGTTAAAGTTTATGTAAATCAAGGGAAATCTCTATTACATATAAAGATACGACTATGAATTATTAATGAGTTTTTGAATTTAGATGGCCAAAACCCTGATATTTACATCTTCACTACATACCTTGACACGTCTTGGAAAAATACCCCTGCCCATCTTTCTTTCCTCGTGACGTACTCCACACTTTTGAATATTTCTCTTTCCATCCCTCTTTTCAAGATGTGGTTCAAAAACTTGCTGGAAAAGTTTAGTCGATTTCTGCAGCTCCTGAGTATAATTACGATAGACAACCAAGGCGTATTCCTGGACGTCGTTCAGGTCGACAGTTTTGTTGAAGAAGAGATTTTCTAACTCTCGTAGTCTGGATCTTAGCTGCGATTCTCTCAAGGCTTTTATTGTAGATGGCGTAGGTCTGCCTGTTGGTTGTCCTTGGGTTGGCATTTGTACCTTTCCAAAAGCATGGCATACGAGGAGCACCACTAAAAATGTTTCACCTTGCATGATGATCTGTTTCGTACAGTGGTAGCTTGGGTTTGTCTGTTGCATTCAAGTCTTACAAGTATATTTATGTCGCGTGATATTATTAAAGATAAACAATTCCTTTTGATGTGAATTTAAGTCCTCATGCACAGAGTCAAAACAAATATACAGTGTTTAAGGTGAATATTTTTTTATTACTCATGCATAAAACCCGAACATCTGTGGCTGTAATAAACACAAGTTTTATATATTACAACATGAGTGACCCTGTACATGTTTTATCGGATATTCGTATTTTTCAACAATTTAAAATAAATTATTGATCTATTTCATGAGAAAATTAAACTTAAAGTTTATGTAAATCAGCATGATTTCTGTATCAGATATACAAACTCCTTCACGCTCATGATTTCTTTTGTGTTTTCTTCATGAATGAGTTTCACAAGTACCATTCACAATTGTAAATGACTAATTTGTAGTCTATAGCAATGGTCACTTGATAAACAATAAGCCCTGGGGTACCGGAGGTTGGCATCGCAGCATTGGCACATTCTCGTTCCCAGGGTCTTTCGGCTGCAACGCAGACAGGATTTAATTATTTCAACTGAAAGGAGGGTCCTATGGGTCCCACAATCAAGTACAAAAATAATGAGACTTTAATTTGTATATTTTCTGCCTGTCTGTAATTTGCCCTCCCCCGGAAACAATGTTGAGAAAACAGTCTAACTAATTACCTTCACTTTTGCTGTAAATAAACTACGTATAGGTCATAGTATGGTTTTGAGTGCAATTTGGAAACAACATGCACGAGTGAGTTTTAATTTTCAACGACTATCAAAATTGCACGAGTCCGAAGGACGAGTGCAATTTGAAGTCTTTGAAAACCTAACCAGTGTATGTTTTTTCAAATTGCACGAGCTAGAAACCATACTATGTCTGGTCTACGACCTATACGTATTTACAGCAAAAGTGAAGGCAATTACTGAATTAGTTCGACTGTTTTCTCAACATTGTTTCCGGGGAGGGCAAATTACAGACAGGGTGAATGAAAATTAAAGTCTCATTATTAATAATATACATGAAAAAATTATGCACTCGCGTGCGTAAGTCACATTTAGAAATTAAGAAAATTACTGAAGAAATTTGAAACATAAAAAAAATAACATAATATAAATGTATATGAGAGGAAGCCTATTAATATGAAAGACTTTGGCATCTTTGCTTACTTATAATTACTAGCTAAATTAGAATACATATGCCTGCCGATATGGCTAATTAATTGGACTAATCTGCCTAATTAACAACTATCACAATTACATGTGAATGGTGGAGGCTGATTAACATAGTCGTTTTCGAGGAAAAGCCAGATTACTGGTGCAGTGCAAGGCAGAGCACAAAATTTAGTACACAAAAATTCACATATGAATTTGTTTATGTTTGCCGTGTTATGTTTATGCAACAGATCTTATACGCACGCCACATTTCTGTCGTTTTTTTAACTCGAGGCATGAAGAGTATACATTTCTCACAGGAAACTGCAAAATACACACTCGTCTGACCCTCTTAAGAATTATTTCAATATACCGAAAAAAACGAAGGTGAATTTTCCCTTGTTTGTCTGTCTGGGTTGACCTCCATGCATGTTATGTAACTTATGGCTACTTTTAAAAGTATGGTTCTATGCTATTGTGCGCATAGAAGTGCGGCCCACAATGTCTTCCTTCGCGTACATTAGACTGTAGATTAGAGATTGCAGGCCGGCATTAAAGCATTTGGTGCTTTTTGGCGTTTTGCTAGATTTTTCGCACAGGCCCCAAGTTCGGTATTTCTGGCATTCCCCATTGCGCATTAGAGCCAGATACGATAAAGATTAAAGTCGTCGAGATATACAAAAATGGCATTACAATACACTGTATTACAAAGGAAATAACAAAATATTAATATGAAGAACTTAAACAACCATATACACGGAATCATTTGGTTATTTCAAGTCGCTCTTTAAAAGCATTGATTGATAGCTCTCGGTAATCGTTGGTTATGTTACTCGATAATTCGTTCCACGACTTTGTCCGGCTCTATACGAAAAACGTTTTAGGAAATTAATCCTTATATTTTTTATGCACACCTGTCTTGTTATCGTCTCTACTTACTATACCTGCACTGACACCGATAGTTTGATATAGTTCAACAGATATCGATTGTTTGGATAACTATACACTGCTCCGTGTTACCGGGACCGCGGAACAGGGGGCCGGGAGGGCATGCCCCCCCCCCCCACTTTTTTGGTGGATAAAAAAATTACCGAATAAAATCCAGTCTGCCTGCGTGGCATATAGCTCTCGTGCTATCCTGCGCCACCCCCCTTCCACACTTTCAAACCGGCTCCGCGGTCCCTGTGTTAAGGTTTTGAGTCGAACCGATTCCTACACTGCCATTGATATTGTATTCTACATTCATTATATTACAGTCAATACAGATTATATTCATAATATGAACCAATTACTCCTGCTAGCTATGCGGATTTTCTGGGTTTTTTCCCCAATTTTAAATGATTTTTGACCATCATTTCAAAGTTATATAACTATAAATAATTCGAGAAAAAAAAGTCGCTATTAAAGCATGTTCCATTCATTTGAAGACAAAATTTATTCCCTGAATAGCTTCGTTGCTTCCTTGAAATTTAATTCTTGGTTTTCTAAGACACTCGCGCGAATAAAGATGAGTGAACGAACAACAACACTACGCTCAGATTCCACACGAATAATAACTTCTTTGTCGTCCCCCTCAACAGGCACGCGGTATTCGGGTAAATCGGGCTCACCTTTCATCCCTTCGTAGCTAGAAAATGAAACATCGAAAAGATCTATATTTTGTTGGTACCTAATATTCAGGTCAGGTTGTATAAAAATGTAGTTAAGGTAACTACGGTTAGTGCGAAAGTCAACCAATCAAAATCTCGTAGTCTAGCTACATTGTAGAGTTTTGTTGCTGTTTAAATTAAGCTCTTTTCATATGGTACAGGATGAATTCGAAACCGCACCCAAATTCGCGCGATTTCGCGTTTTGTGTTGGTACGGGACAAATGAATCCGGACGAATTCAAGCACAACTAATTGCAAAGCACAGCAAATTTGCATGAACGTAGCTTAAATACCTTAAAACAGTTGGATCATACGCTTTGTAGCTTTCCGGAAGACAATATACTTTGAACAAGACACACCATTGTTCCTTGTTAGACATCACCCTTTCAGAATAGGCTGCGTGTGCGGAGTACAGGATACTTGGTGAAAGAAAGATGGCTGCTGCCCAGTTTGGGATACCGAAGAATGTTTCCCCCAGTTTAAAATGACCACGTGGGGGTTTGATTCCTCTTGTACCAGCGGGGAGAAGACCATTCGCCAGGATTGACTCAAGATTCTTAAACCGTGTTCCATGCCATGTCATCTCCCAATTCTTAAGGATTGTGTTTAATTTCGTGCGTGTTTTCGGATCAAGGATATTCGGATGACGGATTAGCTCTTTCGCGATGACTCGACCTTTGAACTCGATCGGACGCATTTCTGAAACGAGTTGCTTCGCCATCAGTTTGGTTTTCAGGGAAAATATAAAATCTGATGTAGCATTTTGAATCAAATTTGTGATATCGGTTGAGTGGCTTTCTTGCAATGCTGTTTGTCCCCATTTATTCTTGATGTCAGTTTGTGCGCCATATTCAAGCAACAAACCGACAACAAGAGGTTGACCAAAGAACGCTGCAGCATGAAGTGGTGTGCTACCATCTCTCTGGATCTTGTTGATATCCGCGCCTTCTTTCAATAGCATTTTCACCATATCGTAGAAACCCGACTTGCAAGCCAAATATAGCAACGTGCGACCGTGTTCGTCTGACTTTTTGACCAGGGATTTATCTCTTCTAAGCAACACTGCAAGCTCATTTGTGTTACCATACGCTGCTATGGTAAAATGGTCGCGAGTTTTGATGGTATACAGGTCACTACCTCGTTGACGCTGGTATCTTGGTTCTGTTGAGGTAAGAATATGATTGGCGAGGGAAGCCAGCGCTCGATTTTGACGTTGTGGTTCTGTAATCTTACTTCGGAAAGCCATCTTCACAGCATCACGAGAAACCGCAGAGGAGGTGAGGCCTAAGACTTCCCAAGGGTTTATAGGAAAACTGATATAGACCTGTCCACCACCAGCAGCTGTGTAAGATATATGTGGAGAATGATCTGTTGTTCTCGTTGATGAACTTGGTCTTCTTAATGAACTTGGTCGTCCTCTTCCTCTTCCTCTTCCTCCAGTTCTATATGCCATGGTAACTATACCTGAAAACATGGGGTAATTACTACTTTTAATTTCCACTTATCCGTTAACTCATCCATACCTAATTCTCAACCTCGTTCCCAGGCTCTTACCTTCGCAGGGCGTGCGAAGGTAAGAGCCTGTGAACGAGGTTGACCTAATCCTAACCTTAATCCTAACACAATTTTTAATATACAAATTATCCTCACTATAATATAAAGAAAGAAAATTTTCGTGTTGACATTGA